TCAGCAGGATCAGTTCTCTAATCTGCTGAAATGCAAAACCATTAGCCAAAAGCAGGTAAAACTCCTGTGTGTTCAAGTGACAGAGACTCTACAGGCTAAGCAGAAAGGGTCCTTGCAAAGAAGAATAACATACCTAATTATTAAGCTCTGGTTTCACCATTTCTGTATTATCACTTATGAAATTTGTCTTGATCTAATCGAAAAAGTAAGGAATGAATCCTTACCAATTATCTTCCCAATCTAGCATAACATGAACAGGGAAGAGGAACACTTCATTTTGAATGTAAAAGCATCAAAAGCCTGATGCACCCATTGTTCCAAGGTCTGTATTTGCCACCAAGTGACACCTTCTCATGCTGCTGTTGGTTTTGGTTTCACAGACATTTCAGTTGTAATATTTTACTTCCATTTTTCTAGGTAATTCAACTTCTATGCTCAAAGTCTGTGAAACATTTACCAGGAAAACTCTTCTTACCAAGTATTTGCTGCCCAGTTCACTTACTGAAACACCACTTGGTCCTTTTGATGTCACCTAGTGCCAACAGTTTATTTCTTTGGCAGTCCTACAGCTTAAATATAACACTGAACTACTTAATCTCAGTGTATCAGAGGCAGTAATGGCCTAGGCAAACCCAAAGTAAGAACCTCCAGAGCTCCAAAAATATTTCACTGGGAATTTCATGCTGGGGACAGACACAACACAGTGATAGTTGTCAAATGCAGCAGCCACAGCTTGTAACAGATCAAGAAAATAGCCCTGAAGTGCATCTGGCATATTGCAAATCTACCACAACAGGAAGTAAGGTCAGTTTACTCTTCTCCATCCTGATTTTAGAACAGATGATGACATGGCTGGACAATCACAGCAGCAGTTCTCATGAGTTCAGAGAGGGTAGCTGAGCTGTGAAGCCAAAAGGGAGGATAAAAGAGCTCAACCACTGCAGAGCAAAGCCAACCACGCTGGCCCACACCTCCACTGCTTAAGGTGCCTTAAATCCTACAGCAAACTGGCTCTGCAGACAAGGAAATTGTAAAATAAGCTCCTACTTGCTCAAGTCCCCGAGTCCCCTGCTGCAGATTACAATTCCCCTGGTCACACTGATGCAATTGTTTGTGAGGCTGCACAGCAACATGAGCCTGTTCAGACAGTGTCTGCAGAAATGCATTTAAACCCCCAACAAATTCTGTGATCCAATTTCCAACCAAACCCATGAACAACCACAGCGACACAAACAGCACAGAACATCATATTCCACAACACTACGTGGGGCAACTTTGTTGAAGAAAACATATATTGCAAAATTATGCTCCAAAACACTCACACAATCCATTTTGGTGCCTAAGGCCATAAGGGAGGGAAGAGCCAGAAATACCCTAAGTTACTACAATTGTTCCTGCACACTCTGTCCATGCAGCCTTGCTCCATGCTGGTGTTTTCAGATTAAGATATTGCAGTAACATACTCCACAATGCACAAGTCTTTCTTAAACAGTCAAAAATATTCTTAGGCCTAATGTACTTTGCTTAATTTTATTCAACTAAACAAACAAGCAAAAAAGAGTATTATGTCTATTTCTGTTAGGAATAGAAGAAAAGTTACTTGTCTTCACTTTTTCATC